GGTCTGTTGTGTTTTTTTTTCATCAGTAACATGCTGATTTTATCACAGTGTCTTTGTAGTATAGTTTCAAGTTAGGAATTGCAATGCCTCCTGCCTTGAGTAAGATTGTATTTTCTGGTTCCAAATGAATTTTAGGAATGCTTTCTCTAGATCTGTGAGGCATGTTGATCACATTTTGATAGGTATTGCATTAAATCTGTATAACAACTTTGGGAGTACAGTAGGCCCTTGCTATTTTGCAGACTCACTGTTTTGCAGGTTTTCAAAAAATATTAATCTAAATTATTTATCATGGATTTTTTTGCTGTCTTGTGGGATTTTGCACTAGCGTACAGTGCTGTAATTCTCATCTTCATCACCTTCATTGTCATCAGGACTACACAGCTAATTCACCACATTCACTATTCAAGTTGTAATGGTACCTTCCTTGGTGAGTACCCACATAAAATTTTGTAGTAGCATACAGCATACATATGTTGTTAAATTTATATAGGTCTACAAGTTTAGAAAACAGTTAAGAGTATTAGAAGTGTTTTTAAAAGTATGGGAAAGGTTTATAAGAGTGTGGGGAGGGTTTATAAAGCCTTACAATATATATAAATACTGGCCTGGGGAGATGGCTCAGTAGAATAAGCGCTTGTCTGGCAAGTGCAAGGGCCTGAGTTTAATCCCCGGTTCTGCCAAAAAAGAAAAAAAAAAAAAAGTCAAAATATATATAAATACTAAAGTAAACATAACATCGTTACTTTGCTGATTTTCACTTATCATGGGGGTGTCTGAAATGTAACCTCTGTGATAAGTGAGGGACCACTGTATGGCCATTTTCACAAGGTTGGTTCTTCCTATCTAGGAGCAAAGAATATCTTATATTTTCTGAAATCTTTTTCAATCCCTCTCTCTCTCTTTTAAAGAATATTGTAATTTTCATTGTATAGATCTTTTATTTCCTTTGTTAGATTGATTCCTAGTTCTTTCTTTCTGTCTGTCTGTCTGTCTTTCTTTCTTTCTTTCTATGCTGTTGTGAAGCATTGTTTCTCTAATTAGAGATGACAGCAGTGGAAAAGCCCTTCTGCACCAGTGGGATGCTTGATGAGCCCCCACAGGCCACTTCAAGTCACTATTGGCTTTAAAGACAAAACAGACCAGCCAGCTAGCTCAGTGGATTAAAGTGCCTTCTTAGGCAGACTCAGGGACTGGGTTTGATCCCATCATGCTGTGCTGGCCTCACTCCCAGGGTGTGCTGAGATGGTGATTGAGACTGGGTGTGGTGGGGCGTGCCTGTAATTCCAGTGCTTGGGAGGCTGAAAACAGGAGGATCACTATAAGTCTGATCTGTAGACCCTGTCCTAAACACATAAAAAAATAAATAAATAAAGACAAAACAGGTGGGGACCCTTTCTTTTACCAGTAGCAAAGTTGCAAGTAGAAGGTAACCAAGCATTAGAAAAAAATCCCTACAACATCAGAGGTGATGGTATCCTCAATTCCTCAAATAGGAAGGAACAGTGGAGACAAGACTGGAAACAAGGCTAGGCCCCAGAGTAGGTGGTGGGAGACTAGAGGTAAGCACAGGAGCCTTGGGGCTTAGGGTTTTTTTCAGTTCTCATCGATGCTCACATCTCTGTGTATTAATCTGTGAAATGAGGAACCGGGCAAGGCCAGTCCTCTCCAGACTTTCTTTGTTTCTGAGTAAGAGACTGACTCAGTTTTGCCTTGAAGTCTGGCAACCTGACAACCCATTCTTCAAGTCAGGATCCACGTGGGATTCTGGTGCAGACCGGCGAGCACCAGATATACAGAGTCAAGCCTGCAGGGCTGTGTGTTGCAGGGCTCTGGTTAGCAAGCCTTAGTTTTTTCCCCTTATAGACTGGGAGCAACAGCACCTCCTATATCAGCCTCCCAAGGTGATGGTCAGGCTCAGGAGTTAGGGTGCAAGGGGATGCGTTGGAACCTACAGACCTAAGCATGATACTGTAATGCTCCAACATACTTTTTCCTACCCAGGAAGTGAGGAAGGGAAGGTGCTTCTGTGATGCTGCCAGTGCTGTTTACAGTAACGATGCCACTTCCTCTTCTGCCCTTTGGTACTCTGCTCTGAGCTCAAGTTCCCACTATTGTGTTGGCAGTGACCGCCGACACTGTTGAGATGAGCTGTCCTTGCACCCTCAGCCATCATCGTCAGCTAGACAGGAAGTTGATACATAGATTATAAAACTGATTTGTAGCCAGAAGTTGTGACCCATGCCTGTAATGCCAGCACTCAGGAGGCTGAGGCAGGAGGATTGTTGTGAGTTTGAGACCATCCTGGGCTACACCATGAGCCCAGGGCCAGCCTGATGTGCATGGTGAGACCCTGTCTCAAAAAGACCAAAAAAAAAAAAAAAAAGATTTGCAGGACAGGCAGAGGCCCTGCCCAGAACTGGGTCCGCGTGGATGCAATAAAACACCCGATGGTTCACTCTGCAGTACCCATGTGTCCCCTCATCCTCAGAGCTGTCAAGGACTCAGCTGTGTAGTCCTGATGGGTTTTGGGGGGAGGATCCCAGAGCCAAGACAAAAGTCTTCTGAGCTAGAATGTTTTGTCAGCTAGCAGCAATCAGCCTTCCTTCCCATGCCTCAAGTATCCCTGTCAACCACCTCCAATTAACTTCGGCTGGGTGAATCTGGAAAGCACGGATGCTTCCTCAACAAACTTCTACCAACACCTGGTCTCTGTAGTGCACTCTGATATAATGGGGCATTGTGAATCTTGGCCTTTGCCCTGGGTTCCCGAGGGTTTATGTTCTGTAGTGAGTGAAAAGAGACCCTGTCCCATGGAAGCAGTTTCCTGTGTCCTGTCAGAACAGTGGAGGGAAGTGCCAGTGGGGAGGCACTGGATCCGGACAGTGGAGGCAGCTATCTCCTGAAACCTGAATCATGCAGAGGGGAGATAATCATGCTTTGCGAGCACCAGGACATCCGCTTCTAGTCCAGGCATGGCTGTGCTGACATTCAAGCCCTGTGCTTCCTGGGGTTCTGCTGACTCAATGCTGGAGATGTCTAATGTCATCAGAGCCATGCAGGTGCCACAAAATAGCTACTGAGGTGCTTATTCTGCTTCAGGTGAGCTTATGAGGAGAATGTAGATATCTAGACGTATTTTTACAAATATAGTACAGGTAAATAAAGTAGGGTTTATTGGTAAACTTACAAACATATAATACAATATGTATAGGTATAAAATTTGTATATGCAAAACATAATAGATCTACATTTTATAAATAGAGGGGCTGAGGAGATAGCTCAGCAGCCTAAGTGCCTGCCTGGCAAGCACAAGGACCCTGGTTCAATTCCCAGCACCACATGCCTCGCCGGCCCTGGAACCGAAACCTGGGATCACTGAGTTGACTCCTGAAGCGGGAGTGGTGGTGCATGCCTGCCTGTAATCCCAGCGCTGGGGCAGCTGAGACAGGAAGATCACTATGAGTCTGAGCGGCATAGCAAGACCCGGTACCAAATAAGTAAATAAAAGATTTTTTAAAATAATATTTTATAAATATAAGTATCTAAAACTATTATTGATGAGTTTTTTACTGAGTAATTAGTTCTTACACATAGGAGGTCTGGTCTGCAAAGAATTAAAGTCTAAAAAAAGAAAGGAAATAAAAAGCTGATATATACCGTAATGCAATGTGGGTTATGACTTATATTTGTTTATAGCAGGCAACTGGAGGCTGTGCATGTATCATCTGCAACTGAAAAAGTGAGAAAATCCTTCTGGCGATCTTTGCTTTTCAGCCTCTAGTCTGCAGCATTTTGACCGGGTTGAGGTTTGTGCTGTGCAGTGCGCATCAGTCATTGTCCTGCAGGCTCCAGTGTGCAGCAAGCAGGCGCGAGCGCATCCTGCCGAGGCTCACACTTGGACACGGGGTGCTGGTTTACTCTGTACTCCAAGCCTGTGTAGGTGCCCTGCATTACTGCAGGGACACAGAGTACATAGAAGCATTGCCTTTTGATTGTTCACACTTAAAAAATGTTAGCACACGTCAGACTGGGTGTGGTGGCACACGCTTGTAATCTCAGCATTTGGGAGGCTGAGAACAGGAAGATCACTGTGAGTCCAATCTGTGAAGTGAGACCCTGTGGACCCTGTACTACATACATATAAATGGATCTACTGTCCTGGCCCCATCCCCGGAGCACACTGAGACAGCAATTGAGACTGGGTATGGTGGCGCACACCTGTAATCCCTGTTCCTGGGAGGCTGTAAACAGGTGGATCACTATGAGTCTGATCTAATAATGAGACCCTAAATACCCTGTAGACTCTTCCCTAAAGTACAATCAAAACAGAACAACATAAATACATATAAAAAAATTAGCACAAGTCGAAAGTGAGCTGGCATATAAGTAGTAGCCTCCCAAGTAGTTCTAGCTTCTTGGGAGGCTGAAACAGGAGAGCTGCTTGAATCTAAGAGTTCAAGGCCAATCTAGGCAAAATATTTTTCTAGGTATGCCTCTCATTTGCCCACAGCACATAACACTTTTTTTTTTTTTTAGAAATGACAACAACTTTGCCCAAACATGTATTTTGTCATTGAATTTTAATGCAACCATCTTCCTACCTGGTCCATCAGGCAAGAAGATCAAGGCCCAGAGTATTAAGGAAATTTAAAAAATGAGACTGGAGAAGCACAGGAAGAGCTGGAGATGAATCCAGGGATGCTGGTCCTTCTACTCTGCTGTTTCATTTCTGGAGCTGAGCCACAAGCAAATAATAACACAGAATGAAGGGCTATTGGGGATCTAAAGCGCCATGAAATCAGTTCTATTCTTAGTGAAAGGTCTAATTTTATTTCTAAAAAAGTATGATCTCTTAAGCCTGTAGAAAATAACATGGAGGTTGTGATCCACAGCTGAAAAGTTTCCTTTTATTTGAATTCACCAGTGTTCACAGTGTTGCTTGTTGGTTTGCCTATTTACAGAAAACCTCCTGAAAAGTGCCAGCCCGAGATCTCCGAATGGATGAGTCAAATGTGACAGCTTTCGTCGACCAGGAGTTCCAGAATGCCTCGACCAGCAGAAATTCCTCTGTTGGGAACGCGGCGCCACACATCCCTGTTGTGCACTGGGTCATTATGAGCATCTCCCCGTTGGGCTTTGTGGAGAACGGGATCCTCCTCTGGTTCCTCTGCTTCCGGATGAGAAGAAATCCCTTCACTGTCTACATCACCCACTTGTCCGTTGCTGATATCTCATTACTCTTTTGTATTTTTATTCTGTCTATTGACTATGCTTTAGATTATGAACTCTCTTCCGGCCATTACTACACGATCGTCACACTGTCGGTGACTTTTCTGTTTGGCTACAACACAGGGCTCTACCTGCTGACGGCCATTAGTGTGGAGAGGTGCCTGTCTGTCCTCTACCCCATCTGGTACCGATGCCACCGCCCCAAGCACCAGTCAGCATTTGTCTGTGCCCTCCTGTGGGCTCTTTCCTGCCTGGTGACCACCACGGAGTACATCATGTGCATTGACAGTGAGAAGGACAGCCACTCTCGCGGTGACTGCCGGGCAGTCATCCTCTTTATAGCTGTCCTCAGCTTCCTGGTCTTTACCCCACTCATGCTGGTGTCCAGCACTATCTTGGTGGTGAAGATCCGAAAGAACACATGGACTACGCATTCCTCGAAGCTGTACGTGGTCATCATGGTCAGCATCATCATTTTCCTCATCTTTGCTATGCCCATGAGGCTCCTCTACCTGCTGTACTACGAGGACTGGTCCGCATTTGGGACTCTACATAACGTCTCTCTGCTCTTCTCCACGATTAACAGCAGTGCCAACCCTTTCATTTACTTCTTTGTGGGCAGCAGTAAGAAAAAACGATTCAAGGAGTCCTTAAAAGTAGTTCTGACCAGGGCTTTCAAAGATGAGATGCACCCTAGACGCCAGGATGAGAGCGGCAATACCGTCTCCGTGGAGACTGTTGTCTGAGGACTGCAGAGGCAAATGGTGGGCTGAACGGTGGGACACAGATGACTTCAACTTTGTGCTTGGAATGCAATTCAAGTATTTGAAAATCTCCTTTAATGTATTTCAGAAGGACGTCTATTCCATATGCATGAGATATGAATGAATGATGAGATTTCACTCTTGTCCTGTATCTTCTCAAAAATGCCTAAATGCAAGTCAGACCTGTTATTTCTGTACTTAGCAAAAACTGCACTTATCAAGAGGTCTTCTCTGATCTTCTGGAAGTGTCTTAGCATGAACCAAACATCTACCATAGTAGAAAGAACCGTACGCTTCTCTTACAGATATGACCAGGAAGGATAACAAAAATGTTTGTTGGAACTTGAAGAAGGAATGCAATGGAGAAGGATGAAGTAGAACACTAGACTCTGCCTTTTGCTGTTTGCAGGCTGCAGGCAACTTCTTGGAGCCTCGTTTCCTCATGTAGGAGTTGCTTCCGGTGCCGGTCTCAACCTCCCAGGGCTGTAAGAGGGAAGCAGGAAGAAAAGATAGCAAAGCACCTGGCACACTGTCAATGCTCAATAAACTGCATCTCTGATCACTGATCACTCATTTAAGTGGAAGACAAAATGTTTAGTTCTTTTTAGAAAGCAGACACATAGGTATATGCACAGCTCTGTCGTGTACAAATATTGTCCTGTTGTTATATGCTGAAAGTAGATTCATACAGGTCTTCTATTTTTGCTTGCAGCCTGGAAACTCTTCATGGTATAACACCACGGTTGAAAACATTGGCAGGTGTTATCATCTAGCCAGCCATGGGTTCAAGAATCATTTCAGGTTGTGAAGACAAACATTTGGCCACCAGTGAGGAGTTCCACATGGCTTCTCTCGTCTCCATGGGAACAGTAAATGGAAAGAGAGTCTGTGTTTTGAAATCCTGTGCATATACTTTTCCATGAATATCACTTAATTCACAAGTTTGTGTGGAAATTAGACTTTTGAAGACCTTCTCTTCCTCAAGTGGTGGCTTACTTTGGACCACCAAGTCTTCTTCTATAGTTCCTTTAGTGGCCCTGCCTCCTTTGCCTGTGGAGACTCATTCCTGGAAGGAGGTTCTGTGTGGCTAGCAGGAGTTCAGCCATATCCTGTAGGTACCTAGAAGTTTGTCCTCAAGACAAATCTTTGCAGGATCCTGTCACATCTGACTCCTGGCGAGGGAACCAAAGAAATTGCATCTGGGAAGCAATCGCCACCGCTCTGTTGTCCAAGAAGCCCACTGGGCTCATAAATCCAGAATCCAGCTCCAATAAAATGAGAGAGATAAAGCTTAATGAAAGGAAGGTGCTTTCCTTGTAAACAGGAAATGGAAGGGAAAGGAAAAGAGATGATAGGTAGCTATTCTGAGAAGAAAGAATCAAGGGATGGGGATATAGCTTAGTGGCACAGTGCCTGCCTGGCAAACACAAGGTCCTAAGGAGGAGGAGGAGGTTGAGAAAGAGGAGGAGGACTAAGAGGAGGAGGAGGAGGAAGAGGAGGAGGAAGATGTGGTGGCGGATGAGGAGGAAGAGGCGGGAGGAGGAAGAGGAGAA